CCTGACTGGAAGCAAAATTATTTTACAAATCTGACATCACTACACAGCCCAACACTCAGAGCAGCTCCATTTTGGCACTTGCTCATTCTTCAGTCAGCAGCAAACTTTCTAGCTCCAGCTTTTCTCTCTGCTCCAGCTTTTCAGGACACATGTAAAAAAAAAAATCTTAAGAAGCAACATTTAGCCTCTCAGATCACTGCAATTTACAGGAGCAACAGCTTAGACTGACCTAGCTATAAACAAGAAAGATACATCACAGCTGGACATCCTAACTGAAAGCCTTTGCCAAGCTTCCACAGGCTTTTGAAACACAACCTATGATTTTCAACAGTGTTTCTACCTTTTTCCTCCCAACAGTGAGACAGAAGAAACATGCCCACTCATTCTGCCAACTATGCATTGGAGGGACACCCCTGCTTCCTTGCTCCAACCTTAGATGTTGTCTTCTTTCCAGCACAGCTATTTCTAGAGCTTATTTACCAGTTCATTCAAATCTAGACTTTCAAATTTTGCAGCATAGTCTGCAGCTCAGTCACCCATGAAACTGCTGAACAGCCTGCAATTGTGTGCAAATCCACACTGTGGCTTGTGCTGCCTGAGCTCAGGTACAGTCATTAGCAACAGCACTTTAACGGGAAGCTCTTTAAATCTGCCAGGAGCATTTACCTGAAAAATATCTCTTCCTCTTCTTCTTCTTCTTCTTCCTCTGAAATAGTTTAATTAATACCAAATACTTTGGCTCGAGAAAGTGACAAAAGCAGGGATCTTGACTGTGAAACAGACACAGCATAGGACAAGAACTGGAAGGGAAGGCTTTTTTCCCTTCATTCATTTAATGGCCCTGCCCAGTGTGAGCCCCCGCTCCCACTCTATTCCCCAGGCTCAGGCAGCATTGTGCCCAGTAGATCTTTCAGAGGAAGCAGGGGACATGATCAGAGGGCACAATCCACTGACAGTGGCACACTTGGTGGTCTTCAGGGGGAAGGTGGATGGCTTGCCAGGCAGAGGGCTCAGGCAGATGCTGGCACCAGCCTGACTTGGGCAGCAGTATGTGAGAAGAGAGAGATGAAGGGGAAACTCCTGCCCTCAGCCATGAGAGCTCTGGTGTCAGCTGATGGCAACGAGCCCTAAGGAAGGGAGCTGTGCTGAGCCAGCCAAAGCATCTGCCCTTCCCCGCAAGCACCCAGGAAAAGGCTGCTCTGTGGTCAGGGCCAAGGCAATGACCCAGTGAGACGAAAGTGGCCCAGATGAAACACCCTCCCCACCCTCAAAGTAATCAGATTTGCTCTCTCCCATGACTTCCACATTTGCTGAGTGTACTTGGTCCCACGTGAGTTGCAACAGCAAGCAAAGCTATCTGCATAAGATTGTCATGCCTCTCCTGCTGCTGCAAATCCACAGATACCAGCAGAGGCATTACTCAGGCACCCGTGACCCTGCTCAGGGCTTCCACACCTCTTCCTCTTCCTCTCAGCCTGTCCAAAGGACAATTCTTCTCAGGGCCATCTTAGGATTTTCCCCCCAATGGGTAAACTCAAACCTCCTGTCCTTGGGCTGGGCAGCAAGCTGTGGCACCATGCATCCATCTATGCTGACAGGGCCAGAATGCCCATCCTTCCTCTCTGGATATGCATATAGCAACAAATACCAAACAGAAGGCACTCCGAGAAAAAAAAACAGCTTTCTCCTGCCTTCTCTTAACCTTCCTCCAGTCTCCAATCGATATATAATCTCTTCTACGTTTAGCTGCTGGGCAGGCCATACATGCCCTTCTAGACACCGTGGCCAGAGCACTCCTTTTCATCCCTTCATCATTGCTCTCTCCAGGAGATTTTGCCACTGGTCCCAGCACCCTCCTCCAACAAGAGGTGGCCCATTACTGCAGAAATCTGCTAAACAAGGATAGTGGGGGACCCACCCAGCAAATCACAGCAGGCAGTTCCAGCTCTGTGCATCACATTGCTGCTGAGTGTGGCATACGGGGAGACACTGTACCCTCCCTGACCATACAAGATGTGTGCTAACTGCTGAGAAGCACAGGATTCTATGAAGATTGGTTGGAAAACCCATTTCCAGGCAGGAAAACACTTCTGGAAGACAATAAATGCTCCTCCTGTTCCATATCAGCATGAAAGAAAATCCTTTCAAAGCTGCATGTGTTTGTTCAGTGGAATAGGATCTGCTGCATTTCATTCTCCTGGGTGATGCAAGGACCCACAGCAGGCAGAGGGTGAAAGTCCTTGGCTCATTGCTCCCCTGCTTCCCTCCCTCCCAGCAAGCATCATCACCTGCACAAAGCCTGTCTCTTCCTGCACCTTCACTAAAAATTTCACCTGAAACACCTCTTCCAACAAACTATGGTAGCTGCAGGAAAAAATTTCAGTTTTACAAACCAACATCCCAAGGTGGGTTCCTTCAGATAAGCCCTGAGCAGCTCCAAGCAAGACAAGGCTGTACTTGGAGGCCACAAGAAGTGAGCTCAGCACAGCACTGAGGAAAGCCTGCAGAGAAGCACAGCAGCTCCATTCTGTGCCTCCATGGAAGGCAGGCCTCATCCCTGGCACACTCTGCACCTTGGGGCACACAGCTTGGAAAACAGCACTAGGTTACAAAGAAGAGTGTGGTTTGGATGGTGAAGGCAACTCAATCTTGGCAGCTCTGTGTTTTAAAGACAGCACTTTGGTGCTCTTCTCACTCCCAAAGCATCCTGAACTGTTATTTACAATTTCCCCCAGGCAGGCCATAAATCCAAGCACAACTAGCAAGCTCAACACAGTGTAAAAGGATCCCAGAGGCAGACTAATTATCTTTGCAGGCTATGCAAGCCTATGCAGTTTTCTTCTGCACAGTAGCTTTGGAAAGTTTGGCTAATGGCTGCCACTAACAGGTCAAACTTTTCACTTTCCATTGTTCTGTTCAGGGTAGCCAGGTGGGAGTTCAGGGGCAACAAATCTCCAGGGGAAGAAATCAAGACCATTAACGGAAAGGGAAGAGAAGCTATGAATCATGAGAGTTCTCCACACACTTTTCTGATTCCAGCAGAAAAGATAGTAAGTAAAGACTGAAAGGAAGCCTAACAGATTACATGAGGACTAAAATCAAAACCACCACCAAACAGAAAATCCTACAACTCCCATTCCCTTGAGACTAGGGATTACTTCTCTCCAAGTACTCTATTCCAAGGCGACAACTTCTTTTTTGTTTAAATTATTTAATACAGTAAAAACTCACTCCCCTCATCTCTTGAGACAGAAGGTCAGAAGATTTATCAGAGGCACAGGTGCTGCTTCTTTCACATTTTCTCATCTCCAGTCTCCATTTTCTCATCATCCACACCAGAAGTGTGCTGATGTTCAGTGTGTAGCTAATTTCACATGGATCTCTCCTAACACCTACTATCTCTGTTTAGGCATCATCTATCCAGACAGTAGTGGTTATAGGAAACACCTGAATTTTAGAGAGGGTGGGGATAAAATAGCAGACTCATATCATTGCTCTGCAGCAAGTAGTGCATGAAGCAACCAGAATGTGCCATTTTCTGAATGAAAGCCTGGGCTGACAAGCTATTGTCTGGTCTAAAGCAACACATACACTCTTTCACTCCAATCATAAAAATGTCCAGAATGAAACTTCTACTTAATTGGTATTTCCCCATGAAAATCATCAGCTGCCATCTCTTAAAAGTTAGATAAAACCCCTCATCTAGTAAGAAAAACTAACATGCTGCAACTGGGCTGTGAAAAATCCTGACAAGCCTATTGTCCAGCTGAACATCACACTGGTAATCGCTGAAGATCCCTTCCATGGAAGCCACACAGGTTAAATTACTTCCCAATAAAAGTGTAATGTCTTCAGTGGTAGTTTCATTTTTTGGAATAAGATTCTCACTAGGGATAACACGAGCAAAGGCAAGAGATTAAAAAAGAATGTATCTTGGGTACCATGTCAGGTATAACAACAAAGTGCAATACAGAGCAAACTTGTCTGTTGCAGTCAGGCCTCACTCCCCATGGCACAGACCAAAAATAAAACAAAAAACTATGAAACTTAATGCTACAAAATACTCTGTGCAAGTAAGGGTACTGTGCTAAATCATGATGGGTTAGATACCATCCACAATAGGAAGTAAATAAAATTTTATGAAGATGTACAGCAACTTCCAGGATATAATTAGATAATACTTTTCCAGAACCATAATAAAGAGGAGAAAATTTTGTGTTTTCTTTGGTTGGTGTGGTGCTACCTGTTAATTACAAACAGCCAAGGAAGCAGAAGATGCTCCCTGGAGAATATCCAAGGGACAGAAATTAGGCTGGTGGCATCTACACCAAAGGCAAGGCCTCAGAGGGGGTTTTCAGGTGCTCTGTCCACTAGTCACCCCAGATGGGAGAATGTAGATGTTTCTTACAAGCTTTCCCTCAAGTTTCTCTCAGAGATTTTTTTCCCCCCCTCATGAAGCTGACAAAAACAACAACACCACCCAAACAAAAACCCCAAAATTACACAACTAAAAAATAAAAAGGAGTTGATAAAAGGACTTCACAATCTTCTAACACACTTTTGCTGTAACTTTCCAATCCTGAGGCAGGGACACAGGATATTTCTGCAAGTTATAGAGGAAGTTCTGAAAAAGTGCCAGAGTACAAACTGCTAGAGGCAGCCAAAGTGGTCAGTCTCCCACTGAGCTCAATATTGCAGGGTGAAATCTACTCCCATTACACATTATGGCTATGACCCAGGTAACTTCTAGGTTTAAAAAACAACAGACAAGCCCAAACCACCTTATAACTTCTAAAATGAACTCTGAAACAGCTTCATAGACTGCTTTGTAGTAACCTAAAGAGACAGCTGCAAAAACCTCCTTAGCAAAATTTGGGTTAAAACTTTTGCAATCGATATAATTCTGGCTTGATCTGTTTGAACAAAAGCAGGAAGCCAGAGAACAGCAAACCACATACTTGATAAAAACCCATTTGTATGGGCAATGAAGGAATACTCACGCAGTGCGTACAGGGACAGGACTATTCCAGCCAGGCAAAATCCCTCGAAAAACCTGAGTGTGCTGAACATGGTCACATTCACTGAGAGTGCCACAGTCAGTCCAAATATCAAAATGAATATGACAGAGAAGAGCAGTACAGGCCGTCGACCAACCCTAAAAATAAGGAAGTACGGAGAAAAAGTGTTAAAAGCCAGGATGGACATAATGCTGGATCATTAAAACTGGCAAAGAGCAGAACAAGTCAGGCAATCCCTTCCAAATATTGCCACCCATTTTTAATGTTTGTTCCATTCTTCTCTATTTTTTTCTTACTAAATCCCAGATTTCTCTGCCAGCTTTGCATTGACAAGCTCATCTCAGAAATGAGTAAGCAGCACATTGCATTGGTGCTTGATTTAACCAGCATTTTCAAAACAACAAAGATAAACAAGGAAGCACCTAGGAAATACTGTAAAGTCATAAATAAGACCTTTGGAGATGAAAATCAACTTCTCAGAGTTTTTTTGTAGTAGCACAGAAGGATATATGGTATTATATACTCATGGCATAATATATTTTTAGTTGCAGAGGTTTCCTCTTCCCAAGAGACACGTACTTTTCAGTCTCATCTACAAGTACAGCCAGCTCAGGAAACTACTTTTCTCGGTCTCATTTGTCAAGGAGAAGCCTAACAAATATGGACTGAACACAAAACAGGGCTCGGGTCACTTCACTGAGCCTTAGACAGTCGATAATAACACTCAGAAAAATTGTGAGGTCCAGGTCCCTCCAGCTGTATCCCCACAGCTGTTGGAGAGACCCACAAAACTAGCCTGACTAGTTTTGCGTAGGGTGAGGAATAAACCACTTCAAAAACCATTACGGGCAACAGGGGCAGAGGACTTGCAGACCTCCTTTGCAGCTGCAACTTGTAGTTGCATGTATTGGTACAGTGCTGACAAGGAGGAAGAGTTATGCCCCCACATTGAATGTGGGGGCAGCCGCTGCAGAGTTTGGCTCTTTCATGTCCAAGGAACATGACATTTTTAACATCTCTTATTCATATGTTTAGTGTTTATAATTCCTTTTCTCTCCCTTCTTTCTGTGCAAGAATGATATGAAGCACCAGAGCACATGGCTAATTTTAAGCAAGAATTGGATCATTATGTGGAGATTTCCAAAATTTTTCAACTTGTCAACTCCCACAAGTTTTCCAGTAGAACTGAGGATCCCTTTTAGTCAGCTCCATATGCCATTTTCACAAAGAATACATGAACTTGCTTTTTGTAGGCAGCTTTCACAGACCCATTCAAAGCATACTGTCAGCTGCAAGCCAGCCATCAGGTTGAATATCAGCACAATAAAGAGCATTTAAATCTCACAACTTAGTCCAGTTTCACATGCTGTAACATTTCTATTCAATTATTTCAGCAGATTGTCACCAGCAGTTATAAAATACATTATACATATGCATTCACAATTAGAACTTTGGATTTTGCAGTACTTAAAATAAAGTAAGGAGTGAAGGGCTGAAAAAGAGATATCATTATAATTTTTTTGCATTTTTGGGAACTATAAGAGTGCACCAGTCATCATTCAGGCTTTTTCAAAGTCACACCTAAGAAAGTGTTGTCAAGGCTGCTTGCATGAGAACAGGTTTATTATTTTCAGCTGTAGTATCACCTGTGAGGCCCCTCAAAGATTTAACTTGTTGGCATTAGACATTCAAATCTTTTAAAACAGAACGAGCATGCAAGCTGGAGAAAGCAAGGTCAGAGCAGGCTGCCCTCCATCAGGGTGCAAGCACAGCACCCTGGAAGATGAGCTGCAGTGGGGCTGAGGGTGGGAACACAATATCCCTGGCTTTGTGATGTACAACTGGGGGCATGCTGGACATGGGGAGTGACTGCTGTCTGTGTTTCAGTCTGTGTTTTTATGGAACACAGCACTTGGGCAGGGAGGGGAAATACCTCATGTAAAACCTTGAATATAGAAAAAAAAGCCTATGAACTTTGTGTTATCAGTTAGCTGCACAGAATTTTGCAGCCCCATGTTTGTTATGCCAAGCTGTAATTCATACCAATTAGTATTTGTGGAAGTGTTTTGCAGATGAAAGGCATTATGCAAACACTCAGAATTAGGAACTTAATTCTCATCACAAGCCTGACCTGCCATTCCCTGATGTTGATTGAAAAAGACCTCATGCTTAGCATACTTCAGTTCCCTTCCTCCCCTCCTCCCACCCCCTGTACTCAAGGTTACCCATCATCAGGACACAGAATTTCTTCTGCCATTATACAAGTTAAACAAATGAATGGTTGCTGCTATTGGAAAAAATCAGAAAATCCAAGAGCCTCCAGAGCCCGTAAAAATCAACTGAGGCCAGAAAAGCCCTCTGGTAAGAGGCATTTCCCCACAAGCACAAAACTAGTCATCTTCTTCACCAAGGCATGCAGCACATTTCTCAAAATTCCAAAGCTTCTGGGCAGCTATAAGCCATATATTTGGTGATCCAGCAGTATTTTGACAGGATGGTGTCCTAGAGCATTAAAAAAAACCTTTTATATGCAGACAGAATTATCTGTCAGTACATGGAAATGCTTGTGAGAAATTAAACCATACACAATTTCCCTGGTAAAACAGCCCCAGGATTCTATCTGCTGCTATCCAAACTGTTCCAGAGTGAGATTATCACAGAAGTCTCAACCTACACTGCATGCTGTTATCTAGATCAAATGCTAAATGCTGCCAGCACAGGTAAATAACCAGGGATACAAGCAACCCTGGGCTTTTGAAGAATCTGCAGCCCCCATACGGTATGATAAGCAAATACATCAAAAAGATATTCCTAATGTCAGAGTTGCACTGCAGGAGGAGAGTGAATGGGCTGAGGACAAGCCCTGCTCTTCCCATACTCCTACACATGTACCTTGCCACCCTGAGATAATCAAGCTTTGCTCTTGCAGCTGATCAAATTGTTCTTCCCATGCCACTCTTTGCAGGTTCTCTCTTGCCTTTGGGACTGGAACTACTCAAAGGCTCCAAAAAGCATCCAAGCAGGTGCAAAGCGGGGGCACTACAGGGCAGTGAGAGGTACAGACCCACTGCCTTGGCGCTACATGGACACTGTGCCCACCTGCTCCAGGAGGAAACTTTCACACAAACCCCAAAAGGCTCTGTCCAGAGCAGGCCGAAGTGCCAGCAGAACTCTGCCTGTGGAACAAGTAACTTATTCAGGCATTGGGCACAGCTGGCCTTCCCATAGCTGAGCACGTTTGCAGACCTTCCTCCTATAGATTTACTACACAGAGCTGTCCCAGTGTGCACACCTACTGTGTTTTGAACACAGAGCACTCAGTTTACTTAGCAAATTGCCTTAATACACTCTATGGCTTGTCCTCATTCAGCTTTAAAAGCTTCTTTCAAAGACAAAAAGCAAAGCCCCTAATGGCATAAAACATCTTCTAATTATCTGAACTGGAGAGTGGTATATAAGTGAAATGAAAACAGATTTTGAGTTTTTATAACACTTTTTATGCATTACTCTGTTTAATCTCCCTGGTTCTTGATTGGGACTGACATACTTTTTCCTTTATTTTCTCTTTCTACCAGGAACAATCTGTACAACCCCTTCATAACCATCTCTACACAACCACTCACCTTAGCAGAAATTCAAGCTGTGATTAAATAGCAAAGTAAATTCAATTAAGGTCTTCTTTTACCAGCCCCAAATGCTACTGCTAAACAGCAAAAAACTATTGAGCACAGGAGTCCTGCTCTGTCAGGTGCATCAGCTGGCAATGTGGACCAAATGGGAGTATGAGGACCAACTTTGGTGGCAGCAAACCACATACATTCTAGTCATCCACAAAAGAGTCAATGATCCCTTCAGCCACCAAGTTACCCTTTTTCTCCTTTGCACCACAGCTGGAAACCAATTCTCCTAAATTCACTAGACATTTCTAGATATTTGAAAATCAGGGCAATTTTATGCTGCATTAGCTCAGCTAAGCAGCTTGCAGAGGGGTCCAACAAGCCCATGTGGCAGCACAAAGTACACACTGGGGACAGAAATGGATGGAAGCACAGGATGCTCCTTTTGGTGGCAGAGAGCTATTAAATCTGCTTACTGCAGTTCTCTCTCCAAGCCAGTGCCTGAGGCAACAAGTTGTTCACTTATTTGTGGCTTATTTGTCAATTATAGCAGCACTTTCCTAACTTGGTAATAAGTCTGCTTTCTCCACACTGATTCCATTTTAGGAAAGCCAAGCAAGATCCCTCATTCATTTCCCCTCTATACTTTCTATGGGTTCTTAGAGCCCCGTTTTACTGTGGTATTTTAATCAAATTCAACTGTATTTCATGCATGTTCTCTACTTCACTGAAAAATCATGATTTGTCTCTAGCCCAAAAATTTTCAGTGACTATTCAGGAATTAAGATGCAATTTTGCTAGGAATGCTTGATCCAAATTACTGCAGTGCTGCAGGGGGCCTTTTCTCTCCCAACTGGCTGGCAAGTTGCTGAGGTTTTATAAGATTTCCCTAAAAGGCAACTCTTCTTCTTTTCCTTTTTTTAATGAATGGCAAAAGAGTTAACTTGGGGCCATCAAAAGTACCAACACTGGCAACTGTGCTGGAAGGCACTGAAGTGACTGGGACAGCACTACAGGGCTATTGCTTAAGATGCTTCAAGTTTCCACTGAAATCACTTGAGTCATCCATGTAATTTCCCCCCCCCCTCCTGCAGTACAAGATCACCTTTTCAAATTAAAGCTGAATCCTCAGCATCATTGGGGTATCCAATAATCCTTTAACTGCCTCAATTCAAGGAATTGTGATCTACTCTTTTTAAGTTTAATACCCCAATGCTAGCAGCACATAAGTCAGTGTTAAATCCTTAATACTACATCACAATGTTTTCCTAACAAGAGCTTTAAAAAAAGAACAATTGAAAGGTTTGCAAAAAACGGCCTTCAACTCACCAATAGGTACTGTGTAAGCACAGGGCTGACATTACATTAGTCATGTATTCAGTGAAATCAATGCCGGTTCCGATTTCTTTTGGTCCTCTTGCTTTGTTAAGAAAACAAAAATCAACCCTAAACTAAAGACTTTGCTTGTATAATTAGAAAATACTTAATTCTATACTAGCTTTACAGCTGCAATAAATTGTATCAGTGGGAAATAAGTAAGCCAAGTATCAAATAGTTTGTGCTACTTAGCTTGATATAAATTACTCAGGAACAATTAACAGACTTTTATACTGTTTGTCCATCATGATTCTTTCAGAACCTTAATAATCATTATGCAAATGTTCCTAATGAATATCAAAACAATATTTAATACTGTTATTTATTTATATCTACACTGCATTAAAAGATTTTTCACTTACCAGTCGGCTATACATCCTGTTATCAGGTGGCCGAAGATTAACCCTACAAGCAGGGAGAACTTAGCAATGTGGACTTTCCAGGCAGAATCACAAACAAGATCCCACTGGAAGAGAAAAAGAGA